ACCTGTTCCTTACAGGAACCATTATGACATAAAAGTCTATACGTTTTTTCTGAGAAATCTCCCAGGTTACTTCAAAGCCCAGTTGAAGTTCGGAACGACTTAGTTCCTTTGAGCTTTTTGGGTTCTCATAATTTAGTAGCAATCTGCAAGTTTAACCATTTATTTCACTCGCTTATAAGGGAACTGTGACAAATATGATATCCTCTTCTCGTCCCCATTATAAGTCTGTACATCTTCCCCTCCATCATCACCACAAGAAAGCTTTGTTCTGATTATGTTTGGGTTTATGGCCCAGGTGTCTTCCAGGGAACCCTAAACCCAAAACCGTATTCCAATTGTCTACCTTTCTCGTTGCCTTCTAAGAAAAGCATGTGTAAGTCTCTAGCGGTTGATTTGTTGAACGTTCTGGATTTCGGGTTGGAGCAGCCAGAACACCCAAAGAACTCTTCATCGAGGGGTGTTGCTTAAGCCGTATAAAGAAGCCCCTAAAGCAGATCTCCATTCCTTACTGAAGGGCCTTTGTCTCTCTGTATTTCAGGCTTCAGGACTTCGGGTTTGGATTTTGGGGGACTGCTTCTTGGGTTTCAGAGAACTTGAATTAATGAGGGTTCCGAAACGGAAGCTCTTTTACAGGATTGTGAAGGTGCATGTTTATCAGGATTGTATGAGGCGTTTTTGTGTGTGTTTTTTATTGTTAGTTTAGGCATTTTAGGCTCCCGAGCTGTCTCGACGTGCTCCATATCACGGGCGCTGAGCTCTTTGGAACTCCGCTGAGCAAGCTGGTGTATTATCTTCCCTCACGGTGCATGCATCCATATAGTGTATATACCTTGACCTTAAAGTAGTCCTTATTAAGGTACTGTACGGCCAAAGTAATTTGCTATATGAGCACACGGACCCTTGGGTATATTATAGCACCTTTGTAGGCCCCTCTTAATAGCCCGAAACCGTCGTCATCCCTAAACCCTACACCCTAAACCCCGGAACCCCTGAAGCCCTAAACCTTATTAAAGGAAGCCTTTAGAGCAAGCTGGTGAATGATCTTGGCCGACCCGAAACCCTAAACCCCGAGAAAAGACGAATTGATTGCGAAAGCGCTGGAAGAGCCATGCGGTCGACGGCCTAAGTTGACAAAGGAGCTGCTTGAGGGCATTATAGCCAAGCAGATTGTGTATGACGACAATGACGGTGCAGTTACGGTGCCGTGGGACCACACGCTCATGAGTGCTAAAGGAGACACTAATTATGCTGCGCAGCACAGTGGTACACGTTTCGTACGTGCTGGCGACGCTGCAAGCGCTAGATTGTATCTTGGCAATGACACCTCTGGAATGGTGGGTCAAGGGATGTGACAGTGCAGCCCATTTCTCCGAGACTCCGAACCGATCGCTTCTCAAATCAAGCTGCAAGTTGACAGCCACGTAGGACACCAAATGTCTGTAGACAACTGCCTACCAAGAGAAGGACTGGGTGAGGCAGAAAGAATCATAACAGACGGTGTCGTTGGGAGAAGGCTCCTGAGGCGTACGATTGGCAACTTGCCAACTCGGTCGCCACAGACGAGCGATTTGCTTACTGGATTGCAAGAATGTGATCTGGTGAAAGCGCAGATGGACAGGTGTGTCAGAGGAGGCGCCATAGCATCAAACGCAAAGTTGCTCCTAGACATGTTTGAAGAAGACATCGTCATGGAGCGTCATGGGCTACAAAACTGCTACAAAGCCCTAAACCCTAGACCTTAAACCCTCTAAGCCACTGAGCCGCTGCTGGATGCTGAGCGCATGCGTTTGGAGGGCACCGGTCCTTTCGACCTTCATAGAGAACCCAATACCTCGTAATTGAGGAATATACTTTAAATCATGATATTAAGGTCCCTATATATAATTTAAGGTATATTCCTTCATTAAGGGGTATTGGGTTCTCTGGGTTCCTTGCCGAGCAGGGTGGTCGTGGCCATGGTTTTGGGTTTAGGGGTTTTGGGTGTAAAGTTTAGGTTTGGGGTTTTGGCCTTAGGGCTTAGGGTCTAGGGTTTAGGGGTTTAGGGTGCAAGGTTTAGGTTTCGGGCTTAGGAATCAGGGTTTAGGGTTGAGGGTCTAGGGGTGGACATGGTTCAGGGTTGAATGTAATGTAGAGGCTTAAATAGTTACCAACACTATTCGGAGGCTTCTTTATTATCGGTATAGTATAATGGGCCCCCAAACCATATTCTAATTATTGAGGTCCCTATGTTGGGTTTAGGGGTGGACATGGCTTGAGGTTTACATCGCGTGGTCTACGGGAAGGGCAAGAGGTCGACATTCTTGCTTTGGAGGGTGCGCTTGGAGTTTAGGAGGGTTTAGGGTTTAGGGTACCTGCTCTAACGAGCTAGTCAACCTCCTTTCTTGCCGCAGGTCTTTTCGAGAAGGCAAGTTACCTTTCTGTTGGATGGTGTTCCTGGAGTCCCTAAACCCTATACCCTAACCCCTGGCCTTAAACCCTATGCCCTTAACCCTGAAACCCATACCCTGAACCCTATACCCTGTACCCTGAACCCGAAACCCTAAACCTATACCCTGAACCCCACGGCCTCAACCCTGAACCCTAAGACGCTAAACTGATCCAGCATCTTGTGATCCGAAGGTTTCACATTCTGTTCTTGGGGCTCCTTTTGGTTTCGGGTTAAGAGCTTTAGGGTTTGGGGTAGCATGACGCTGGATTTGGTTTCATGTAGGGTTTAGAGTTTAGGGTGAGTTGTGGTGTCATGCTCTTTCCTTTATCCGAAGTAAGTTTGGTCGGTGTCTGGGTTGGTTTCGGGCTGATACGGTTTATGATCGTGTTTTTTGGTGGTATAAACGTAATGAAGCCCTACCCTGAAATATCCCGAAATCCATTTCCGAAACCTTGTGCCCTTGATTGCTGGAGCAAAAGCTGTTCCCAACCTTGTCCCCGTAAAGCTGGGGTAACTCCGAATTTAGCCTAAGCTTGAGTACCGGTTTCCTATGCAGGGCAGTCAAAATATCAACAGAGTGTGAGTATTGATAAAACAACAAGAACCAACACTGAATAACAACAATCAATGATTGCTGATAGCAGTCAAAAGGAAACTCAGTTAGAAGACACTGCTAGCAAGAAGCAACCCTAAACCCAAACCCTAAACCCTAAACCCTAAACCCTAAACCTAAACCCTAAACCCTAAACCCTAAACCCTAAACCCTAAACCCTAAACCCTAAACCTAAACCCTATAAACCCTGAACCGAGCGGATTGAACCTGGGCAGCGACTGAGGAAAAAATCGACAAGTCCCGAGCGAAGCTCCAGGCGCAGACGGTCCCTGCCAGGTTCTGGGGTTTAGGGTTTAGGGTTTAGGGTTTCGGGTTTAGGGTTTAGGGAGGTTCTAGGGCCCCTGAAAGGGTTTAATTGGGGTTCAGGGTTCAGGGGTTTAGGGTTCAGGGTTAAGGAGTTTATAGTAGTTTTGTAGGTAGTATTCAGAAGAGTATACTAGGGCTCCTGAAAGGGTTAATATGGGAGTTTCCGAAAACAGGGGACCCTAATACAGTACCCTGAATAGTAGGATCCTTATTATAAGGACCCCCCACAATACGGTACCCCTTATTTTCGGAAGCTCCCATATCAGGGCCCCTTAGATAATCACCAATGCAATTTTGGTGGTTCCTTATTATAAGAATAGTATAATATACCCCAAAACCCTGTTCCAATTACAAAGGCCCCCACATTAAGATACATGGGTGTCTATGACTAAAGGTCTGTGTAGGTAACCTCTAACCGTTTGGGGGTTACATAACCCGGCTATAATTGACGAACGACCGCTGCTCACCGCCGAACCTTGCCTACATTATCATGACGCATGGCGGCCAAAATTACATGTGTTTGTCTTCCCGAGCCGAGGCTCCGCACGAGGAGTGTCTGCCGTTTAAGTGCCCATATGGCCTTATCTGGCGGAGCGGGGTCCGCGGCTTTGTCGAGCCGGAATCCCTGCACGCAGGGTGGAACGATTGTCGCAACTCTATCCGTCGCGCCGACTTACATCCGTCGCTGTTGCTAGGTTCCCTTCTGAGCCAAGTGTCCCACGGTGCATGGGATTCAGGATCCATCCAATGGTCTCGTCAAGAGGCTGCGACAAGCCTCGCCGATGAGATGAGCATGGCAGAGTTTCAGGGTTTAGGGTTTAGGGTTTAGGGTTTAGGGTTTAGGGGTTTAGGGGTTTAGGGCAGGCACTTCGGGAAGGTATGCTGCAAGACCGCTACGGGGACGAAACAGCGGACATCCCGGACCAGCCCGCTCTTCGTGCCGTGGAATCCTTGTCGATCTTCGCAGGGGGCTCGGGCCAATACTGACGCGGTCAGGATTCCCCTGAAATCCTGAAATGTGCGTATTCAGTCAGTGTCGGGTGCAGCCGCGCAATATCTGAGTCTCCGAGAGAAAGAGAGAGGGAGGGAGAGAGGGAGAGTGGAGAAAGAGAGAGAGAGAGAGTGGCAGGCAGGCAGGAAAGCGGATAGAATCGGGGTTTGCCTCGACGACAGTACTAATGTAAGTGCCTTAGTTGAAAATACCAATACAATTCTTTAGGCTCCTGAGAACAAGGATATTTGAATATACCACAAAACCCTCTATAGTCTTGGTATGTCTTATTATTCCGGCTGTTGTAGCTATTTCAGGGCTTGCGCAGCCAAGGGGCAGTGGAAGCTCACTACTACAACTTTCAATCTTGTTTTTTAGGGTTTCAACACCCTAAACCCTAAACCCAAAGAGGAGCCGGACTCGCACTTGCACCTGTAAGACAGTAACCTAACTAGGCCTACACCCTAAACTCTCAACCCCAAACCTCCGAAACCCAAACCCTAAGTCCCAGAAAAAGGGAGGAACGGACCCGTCATCCTCAGAACCCCCCCCCCCGGTGTTAATATTATTACTCGGTTTAGGGTTTAGTACGTGAAATAG